GAGAGAGAGAGAGAGAGAGAGAGAGAGAGAGAGAGAGAGAGAGAGAGAGAGAGAGAGAGAGAGAGAGAGAGAGAGAGAGTCTGTGAAGGAAGGACTGTGAATGCGGGGGAAGAGTATGGACGGGGTTGGAGGTTCAGTTAGTCAAAGGAGAAGGAGGAGGAGGGGAGGGAGTAGAAGCGGGGAAGCAGTGGAGGGCCGTACGCGGGAAGAGGAGGTGCGAGGGAGTAATGTGATAGCCTGTTTTTGCACGTGTCAATATTTTGCTACCTCGTTTTGCTTGCGGTATTACAGTAATTGGGCATCGCCAAACCACTCTCGAAATCTGGAGAATGAGAACGAACTTGCCGCTAGAACGTAACCAGCTGCACACACCTCATTTTTGTTTTTTTCCCATTTCGAGAATGGCGTGGCGAGGCCCATTAACCCCCTTCTAACTTTCCTTTTCCCTTCTGATTCCGTCGCTTCTCATCGTGATCAGATTTCCCTCGTTTTTTCGGCTGTCATTTATAATTACTTAAGTAAATTCATTAATTGATTAATTAATTGATTAATTAATTGATTAATTAATTGAGTGAATCTGATTGTTCAGTAAATTTGCTATGAAATTGGATATCGGGTGTCTACCTTGTTCCTCCTGTTCGATGACTGCACTGGGGGCATAATCACACTAGTAGTTTTTCTGCTAAGCTCCTCCGGACGTGAATGCGGTCACATTCATCGAGGCCGGCCCGTAATTGCGGTCAGATGCATTCAGGAAAGTGCTAGTTTGAATATGCCCTGCTTGAGGAGGTGGTTCGGGTAGTTGGTGGTTGTTTATATGTTGCTCTCGCTCTCGTTGTCATGAGCCTAGCGCTAAACTGGCGGCATGGTGTGACTACCTCCTCCTCCTACCTCCTACCTCCTCTTACCTCCTCCTCCTCCTACCTCCTTCTCCTCCTACCTCCTCCCTCTCCTCCTCTTCCTCCTCCTACCTCCTCCTCCTCTTGTCGTGGTAATGGTCCGGTTTGTCGTTTGCAGGCCGACATCTGCCTGCAATTTTTTGATTGGCTGCACGTCTATCGTTGATTGGATTGAACGGGTTGTTGTTAAGTGTTTGTGGTGAGCAGTCGAGAGAGAAAGGGAGAGGGGGGCGAAGAGTAATTCGCCCATTGATTGGTTGATTGGTTGACTTGCTTTTTTGATTGGCTTGTTGGTTGGTTGATTGGTTAACCGATTGATTGATTGATTGATTGATTGATTGATTGATTGATTGATTTATTAAATAATTGAGTTAATTGATCGATTGATTCATTGTTTTATTGACCCGGCTGTGTAGGGGGAACGAAGGCGGCGACGATTTTACTGGGAGGGCAGCGGCCTTTGACAGGAAGGAAGAACTGAGGAGGGAGGAGGCCGGCCAGAGAGAAGCAGGCGTGCTTGAGGGGTAGTATTGAAATTTCGGAGGAACGAGAGAGGGATTGCAAGCGGACAGACTGGGTGTGAGGGTGCGAAGGGGAGAGAAGGGAAGAGGGGGGGGAGGGGGGGAAAGGAGAGGACGAAAGAGAGTTGGAAAGGATAAGCGTCCAGGGTGACGGGAACGATATAGAGAAGCTGTCTCTTATACACATCTAGATGTGTATAAGAGACAGGGATTACGTTGTAAGTCCAACGCTGATTGGATTAATGACTGAATAGTATATTGGTTGATTGATGTTGGCGGGGGAAAAAGGGGGGGGAAGGGGCGAGTTGAAGGGTGAAGTAGAGAGGGTCGATTGCCATTAGTGAAAAATATAGCTAGGTCGATTTTGAGTCGTACTTATCCTGTAATCGGTATCAGTCAATCGATCAATCAATCAAGAGAATTCTTGCAATTAGTCGACTAATCACTTAAGGAGTCGAGCAATCAATCTCAAAATCTATTTATTCTGGCGCGTGAGCATCGACAGAAGAACCTTCCATGTTGATTCGCTTGATGTCTCTCGCTTTCTGCAGCCCAGCTCCTTAGTAGAAAAAGACAATCAGACATCGAGAGGAGGGTTGCATGCTTCCTTGTTGGCGGTCGCATGTTGAGAGAGAGAGAGGAGAGAGAGAGGTGGTTGCTGTGTGCAGTGCAGGTGTTTCTGTTTGCCACCATCTCTCTGAACGCTACAGCTTCTCACTAGCAGAAGCCAATCTATTTCATTCCTTTCTCCATCGCTAACGCTCTCTCCTCTCTCTCCTCGACGGATTTGCCTATTTGTCTTGCCAGCTCTAGTAGATTCTCTCTCTCTCTCTCTCTCTCTCTCTCTCTCTCTCTCTCTCTCTCTCTCTCTCTCTCTCTCTCTCTCTCTCTCTCTCTCTTTTCTTTGCGTCTTCACTTGTTGAAGTAATGGGAGAAAAGAGGGAATGGGAGAAGAGAGGAGGAGGGAGGAGGATTGCATCGAGCTTGCAGTGTGAAAGGGAAGGACGTTGACAGGAGGGGAGAGAGAGAGGGGAGGCAGTGGGAGAGAGGTAGAGGTGCTCTCGTTCTCTCTTTTTCTCTCTTTTGTTAGTCTATAGAGAGGGCCTCGCCGCACCACAGTCGAAAGGCGAAAAAATTCGACGGCTGTCAGAACAAATTTGACAGCCTCCATTCGACAGTTTGCCCCCCTTTAGCCACACAGCACTGTAGAGTGCACGCACTTGTGAATGCAAGATAGAAAAAGACGAACGCGCCAGAGGGTACGACAAGCATTAGTCCATTCGGACCTTACCGCCCCTCTGATCTATGACTTATTTGAATCAGCTACAGGCATACGAATGATGAATAATTATTTTCGTATTGGAGGAGTAGCTGTTGGTCTTCCTTATGGATGGATAGATAAATGTTTAGATTTCTGTGAATATTTTTTGCCTAAAGTAAATGAATACTTCGAAGAGAAGTCGACGGCGCAGCCGAGGAGTGTCGAAAGCATGGGAGTAGCAGGCTGGGGATTCAACAACTTTCGACAGGAGCTGTCGAGAAGCATGCTCTGACAACTGGAGAATTTTTTTCCCGTCTCTGTGTGGCGAAGAGAAACTGTCGAAAATTGCATTTTCTACAGTGGTGCGGCGAGGCCCAGAGAGTAGTACATCCATTTTACATTAGCGCGCGCTTTTGTGCGGGTATAAGTGGGAAGGAGGCACTCTCGTACTGCTTTTGTGCGGGGTAGGGGGGGATGCTCTCCCATACATATATAATACGTATACATAGAGGATTATAAAATGCGTAATTACACTGTAGATATACGGTAAATATGACATAAATATATTTACACATGGATGTGAATGGTAATATGATATTAATACATACATACATACATACATACATACATACATACATATTTCACACTTATTTAAGCGTTAAGAAGAACGAGGAGGAGGAGGAGGAGGAGGATAGGGATATTTGCAAGAAACCGGGTAATCCGTCCCTGCCGTAGGGGGTACAAGAAGCGGTACAAGAAGCGGGAGGAGTGGTTTGGGGTGGGGGGGGGGGGGGGTGGGAGGCGAGGAGAGGGAGGAAAGAGAGCAGTAGGTAGCTATCCAAGGGAAAGTCAGAAGGAAGAGGAGGGTCTTGTAGAGACGTTCTCGTCATCCCTGCTTRGCCTRTCCGTTGCTTTGGGAGCGGGACAAACTCTCTCTACTCCCTACGTTTCATCTCCTTATCTCTACTCCCTACGTGAGAGAGAGAGAGAGAGAGAGAGAGAGAGAGAGAGGTCAGAATTGTACTCCACGTTCATGACGTTCAGCCGAACTGTTCCTCGTACCTGACTTGGCGTTGCTCAGCTGCGAGGCACACAGATAGAGAGAGAGAGAGAGTTTATCGTGGTGGAGACACGTGGCGGTATCTCTGACCAGCGAGGAAGAACGTAGAGGGCTTCGCGGTTTTCCTCCAGGGGGAAGCGGGGGGGAGGGGGGGACGAGGGTGTGGTTCGATACCGTGACGGTGGACGTGCATGCGCAGGCGCGCGCAGTAGGGAGGTAGGAGGGGGGCAGTAGGGACGGAGAAGAGGCAGAGGGAGGGTGGGAGGTGGAGGTGGTGGGGCAATGAGAATGCGGTTAACTTCGAGGCCCACGTTGCGGTCTTGCTCGATTTGTTGTTGCAGGAGTTCTGAGGAGGAAGAGGACGATGAGGATATTGCCTTGCCGTAGTCGTAGGTAGAAGAAAGCCGTGCTCGATTGATTGATTGATTGATTGATTGATTGATTGGTTGATTGTCGGTTATAAAACAATTCTATTCTCTGCGTTTGGATTATTTTGGGGGGTTTGGAAGTAGAGGTTCGAAAATAGAAGCACAGCGGTTTTGGCGGGAACTCGTGTATTCCAGTTGGCGGGAGGATTTTTTGGCGGGTGCTGTGTGGAAGACGCCGCGCCCTTTGACTGTGTCAAAAGCGGTTTTGGCGGGAAAGATATTCTCTTTCTCATTCTCATTCTCATTCTAATTATTTTTAACATTTGAATTCTTTAAAAAAAAAGAAAAAAAGAAAAGGGAAGTCCGCGCGTGCGAAGTCAAAAATATGGCGGGTTCGTTCGCTAATCTCCTGCAATTGGCGGGGCCGGGCTCCCCGCTGTTTGTGAAAAAATCATCGCTGAAATCGAGCGGTTCTACCGCGGGGGTAAGGTTTAGCGGTGTGGAATCAGTGGGGGGAGGGGGGGAAGGAGGAGGGGGTGAAATAGGTGGCGCGCAAGCAGGAGCAATAGGAGTAGGAGGAGGGGGAGGAGGAGGAGCAGGAGCAGGAGCAGGAGCAGGAGGAGGAGGAGGAGGGCGGCGAGAAGCAGCAGCAATTCGAGGAGCACCAGCAGGGGCAGGAGGAGGAGGAGGAGGAGGAGGAGGTAGTTGCTCGTTTGCCAGCCGGCCTCTTACGGGTCCTCTTGATGCTCCCTCCTCCTCCTCCTCTGGCTATCTCGGCGGCGGCGGCGGCGGAGGAGGAGGAGGAGGTATGGTTAAATCCAACTCCTTCCCATCTGATGACCATTCAGATGCTCCATCTGTTGTCCAAGATCGTCTGATTCTGGTCTCTCACATGCTCCCTCTCACGATGACCCGAGTGGAACTGGTAGGCGGCGGGTTTTGCTGGAAATTTGAGGTGAACCGAGAGGCCCTCCCTCTTCAGATCGGTGACGGTCTTCGATTGGGCGATTTTGTGGGGACAGGTTCTGCTGTTCCTCAGCAGATGGATATGGAGGTAGTTTATGTCGGCTGTCTGAAGCAGGAAGTGGATGTCAAGGAGCAAGACGACGTCGCCCGGGCGCTCTACGACCAATTCCGCTGTGTGCCCGTCTTTCTACCCGACGATCTGCGCACCAACTTCTACAACAAGTTCTGCAAGCAACACCTGTGGCAGATGTTTCACTACATGCTGCCTATCATCCCAGAGCACTCGGAGCGGTTCGACCGCAATCTGTGGAGCGCGTACGTCGTGGCAAACAAGCGATTCGCCGACAAAGTTATGGAGATCATCAATCCGGATGAGGATTTTGTGTGGGTGCATGATTACCATTTGATGATCCTGCCTACCTTCTTGCGAAAGGCCTTCCACAAGGTGAGATTAGGCTTCTTCTTGCACAGTCCCTTCCCCTCGTCGGAGATATAWAGGACGCTGACGGTGAGGGACGAAATCCTGCGGGCGCTGCTCAATGTGGACTTGATTGGATTCCACACGTTCGACTACGCGCGGCACTTTTTGTCGTGTTGCAGCCGGATGCTAGGGCTGGTGTTCAAGTCCAAGCGAGGTCATATCGGTCTAGAGTACTACGGGCGCACGGTGGTGGTAAAGATCATGCCCGTCGGGGTGGACATGCCTCTGTTGAAGGGGACCCTAGCCCATCCCGACACRATATGGAGGATAGGAGAGCTGAAGAGCGAGTTTGAGGGGAAGATTGTGTTGCTCGGCGTGGATGATATGGACACGTTCAAGGGCATAGGGTTGAAGTTGCTGGCTATGGAACATTTGCTGCGCGATCATCCTGAGTGGCGTGAGCGGAAGGCGGTACTCGTCCAGATTGCCAATCCCGCTAGAGGGACGGGGAACGACGTCACGGCGGTGCAGGCGGAGGTCAGAGCGCTGACTGATCGGATTAACAAGCAGTTTGGGAGGGAGGGGTATCAGCCGGTGATTCTTATGGAGAGGACGGTGCCGCTGTACGAGCGGTTGGCGTTCTATACCATAGCCCAATGCTGCGTGGTGACGGCGATGAGGGATGGGATGAACCTGATGCCGTACGAGTACATCGTGTGCAGGCAGGGGCTGGCGGTGGGCATGGACTCCCCGGAGGGGCTGGGAGAGGGAGCGAAGAAGAGCATGCTGGTCGTGTCGGAGTTCATCGGCTGCTCCCCCTCCCTCTCAGGTGCAATCCGTGTCAATCCCTGGAACGTGGAGGCGGTCGCCGAGGCCATCAACGCGGCGATGTCGATGCCGGAGGCCGAGCAGCGATCCCGACATGAGAAGCACTTTCGCTTCGTTCAGAAGCACAACGTGTCCTTCTGGGCCAACAGCTTCATCTCCGACCTGGAGCGCTGCTGCCGGGAGCACACGAGGCTGAGGTTTTACAGCCTAGGGTTTGGGTTGGGATTCCGGGTGGTCGCACTGGATCCCAACTTCCGCAAGCTGCAACAAGACCTCATCGCCGCGTCGTATCGGCGCAGCCGGCGGCGGGCGATCTTGCTCGACTACGACGGAACGATGACGTCCCAGCAAAGCAGCAGCAACGAGCCAGGGGAGGAGGTGCTCTCCGTGCTGAATCAGCTGTGCGCCGACCCGTGCAACACCGTGTTCATAGTCAGCGGAAGGGAGAAGGACGTGCTGGCGACGTGGTTCTCCCCCTGCCCCCGCCTCGGGCTTGCCGCCGAGCACGGCTTCTTCTACAAGTGGCGCCAGTCTGCGCCTTGGGAGACGTTCAGCCCTGTCATCGACTTCGCCTGGAAGCACACCGCCCTGCCGGTGATGGAGCAGTACATGGAATGCACCGATGGGTCCGTCATCGAGGCCAAGGAGAGCGCGGTGGTGTGGCATCATCGTGACGCGGATCCCGACTTCGGCTCCTGGCAGGCCAAGGAGCTGCTGGACCACCTTGAGAGCGTGCTTGTCAACGAACCCGTCGAGGTCAGAAGCGGCCACCATATCATAGAGGTGAAGCCTCAGGGAGTGAGCAAGGGAGCGGTAGTGGAGCTGGTGCTCAAAGCGATGGCGAAGGAGGGAAGGACCGACTTCTTGCTGTGTATTGGGGATGACAGATCGGACGAAGACATGTTCCAGAAGATTGAGAACTTGATGGGGACGGCACAATTGACTGGCGGGGGGGGGAGGGGAGGAGGTTGCAGAGGGAGGGGACAACCTGTTGCCAAGGACATGGTGGACATACAAAAGGGAGAGAGAGGAATAAAGCTAGGAAGCACAATGGGGAAAGGGGTGCAAGAGAAGGCTGAGATGAGGGGAACCTGCTTTCCTTGAATCGGAAGAGGCATCATTATTACTCAGAGTGCCTGCAACTTTTAATCTTCTTGTGCCTTTGATTCCTGGTCTTTTGATCTTCGTCGTCCGCCAACTCTTCCGGCTTGAGGCATCCATTACACCCTCCTTATCCCCTACCAACTGCTGTTGTTGCAGTTCATATTTTTTGGCCCAGGCTGGTCAATTTCTTCGGCAAGTGCTAGACATACTGCAGTCAGCACCTGCCAACAACCAACCCGCTTCCACAACACCTTGCCTCAGTGCTATATTTTTTGGCCCAGGCTGGTCAATTTCTTNGGAGGAGGGGGAGATAGAGAAGGGGGGGCGGCGGTATTTGCCTGCACGGTGGGGCAGAAGCGGGGGGGGGGGGGGGGAGGAGGGGGAGATAGAGAAGGGGGGGCGGCGGTATTTGCCTGCACGGTGGGGCAGAAGCCGAGCAAAGCCAAGTACTACTTAGACGATACGGCAGAGGTGATGAAAATGCTGCAGGCGTTGCCAATCCCGGGAATGGGGGAGGGGGAGGGAGAGGGGGAGGAGGAGGAGGAGGAGTTGGTGATGGGGTTGGGAGGAGGAGGAGCGGCGGCGAGGTGGGGAGGGAGTAATGGCTTGCTAGGGATGGCGCACTCCTCGCTCCGCCGGCGCGCGGACGAGGCTTCCGCCGCATTGAGCGGGAGGAGCGCCGTGCAAGAACCGGCCCGCGGACATATGGGAGAAGTTGATGACGACGACGAAGATCCTCGCGCTGCTGGGTATCCTGAAGGGGAAGAGGACGAGGAGGAAGAGGAAGGAGGGGAGGAAGAAGTGGAACAGGATGCAGGAGGGCAACAAGAGGAGGAGGAGGAGGAGTGCATTGGCAGACAGACAATCTTGGGGAGCGATGGGAGCCAGTTTGTTGTTGTCAACTCGCGGCATTCAACCGCTTCGCCACTGCGGCCGGCCGCTGTCCCGACCCTCAGTGACGGTCGCCATGATGATGATTACGTGTGAAAAAAAGTAGATAAGTCTATCTAATCCACAGGTCGCTTCTCAAGGCGGTGAGTGATCGCCCACTCTCACGTCCTCGCTCCTTCTTTCCTCCTCTATCTTCCTCTGAAGGCGGTAAGAACACTGCATCCTCTCTCTCTCTCTCCCTCCTCTTCCCTCTTTGACCCTCTCTCCCTCGCTCCCTCTCCATCTCCCTCCCTCTCTCCCTCTCTCCCTCGCGCTCTTCCTGCCTCTCCATTTACCGCTCTCTCTCTCTCTTCGCCTTTTCTCTCTTATCAGCATTATCATCTCTCTTCTTCGTCGCGTCTCTTTGAATCATGTCCATTCAGTTCGCGCTCTTGGCAAGGGAAAAACAGAGGATTGGCTTCGCTTGTGGCTGACTGATAGTGCGAAGAGGGGGGGAGAAAGAAAGAGGGCGAGGAGGTTCCCTTGCTTTTGCTCTTCACGTCCATCGTCCGCACACTGCTGATCGGCTTTGCTAGTTTTGTCATCTCTCTCTCTCTCTCTGTGTCAGCAACTTCTCTCTCCTCCTCCCTGTAGGGGAATCTCTCTCTCTCTCTCTCTCTCTCTCTCTCTCTCTCTCTCTCTCTCTCTCTCTCCCCCCCCCAGAATTTTCTCCTCTTCCTCCAACCATCTTTGTTTTCAATTTTTCGTCTTTCTCCCTCTCTCTCTCTCGCTCTCCCTTGTCCCTCTCTCTCTCTCTCCCTGTCGCCGCGTGTCATCTACGCCAGGAGATATTAACGGCATGGAGGCAGCTCGTGAAGTTCTGTGCATGTGCGGACAAATCCGAATCCGTATCGACTCTGTGGCTCTGACACAATTTGGGCCTCGCTGCACTACCCATGAAAAATGTGCAAAGTGCAGAAAGTATCTTATTGAACGCTGCTACGGGGTTCACCGTATGCCTACAATTAGGAGTAGTGGTAGGTAGGTAGTGTGAGGTGAAATTGAGAGAAGAATATAGCTTTAAAAAAAAAAAACAAAAAAAAAAACACTTGCCAATAGTTTGCCTTTTTTGCAATTTTGGTCAGTGGCGTTATGAGTCCCTTCAGCAGAAATTCGAGGGGTCTCTTGAAAAGCACGGAACACGGTCCCAATTCCGACTGGACACTCCATGCAGATCTGTGATCGACACGTGGACTCTGCATGCCTGCATGTCCCGACGGATGGATGTCCCGACATCCGTTAAAATTGGAAGAGAAATTCGAAGGGTCTCTTGAAAAGCACGAAACAAGGTTCCAATCCCGACCGTACTCGTGGGCAATGCCATGCAGATCCGTGATCGACACGTGGACTCTCTGCATGCCTGCATCTCCCGACGGATGGATGTCCCGACATCCGTTAAAATTGAAAGAGAAATTCGAGGGGTCTCTTGAAAAGCACGAAACACGATTCCAATCCCGACCGGACACGTGGGCAACCCCATGCAGATCTGTGATCGACACGTGGACTCTCTGCATGCCTGCATGTCCCGACGGATGGATGTCCCGGCATCCGTTAAAATTGGAACGATATAGAGAAGATTACCGTAGCGTGGCCCCTGCGCAAGGATGGGAAAAAAAAAAGAAAAAACTAACACGTGCACTGTCTGCATGCATGCTTGTCTCGGCGGATGGATGTCCCGACATCCGTTAAAATTGGAACGAAAAGAGAGAAAGAAGATTAACATGGCGCTTGCGCAAGGATGAAAGACGTAAAAAAAGAAAGGAAGAAAAATATAAGCGCTTGGCTTTCGCACGTGGGTTCTGAAAAGCGCGAAACGTGTTCCCGATCCCGACCGGATACGTGCACAATCTCATGCAGATCCGGGCTAGACACGTGGACTATCTGCTTGCATGCCTGTCCCGATGGGTGGATGGATGTGTCCCGATTGCAACGTTAAGCCCCCCTCTACAGTACTTGCGTCCTGAAAAGCACGATATCCATGAAGGGGGGGGAAAAAAGAAAAAATGGGAAAAAAAGGAAGGGCGAAACATGGTGCCAGTTAAAAAAAAAAAATCTCATGCAGATCTGGGCTCGACACGTGGACAATCTGCATGCGTGCGTGTCCGGACGGGACGGATGGCCGGTCCGGATTGGGATTGTAACGATTATGATGTGAAAGTTGGGGAGTGTACCTTTCCAGGGAAACTAGAATGGTAC